GGCGTGCGGGATGCGGTTGTTCTGGTGTCGGAGCATGGTCCCTCGGCGTCGCTGGTTGCGTATGTGACGGGGGAGGTTGCGGACACGGCGGCGCTAAAGCGTCAGGCGGGCGAGCATCTGCCAGTCTGGATGGTGCCGGACGTTGTGATGGTGCTGGATGCCCTGCCGCTGACGGTGAACGGCAAGCTGGACCGCCGTGCGTTGCCGGAACCTGATGCTGGGGAGACGGGAGTTGCGTATGTAGCGCCGCGCAATGAGAGCGAGGCGGCGCTACTGGATGTGTTCCACACGGTTCTGGGGCGCGACGATATCGGGGTGGAGGACAACTTCTTCTCCGCGGGCGGGGATTCCATCATGGCGCTGCGGCTTGTGTCGCTGGCGCGCGAGGCGGGCCTGTCCGTGACAGTGCGGCAGGTGTTCGACCGCCCGACGGTGTCTGGGCTGGCCGAAGTGAGCGGACGCCTATCGGATGAGAAGGTCCTTGAGGAGAACCATGAGCCCTTGTCGCTGACGCCGATCCAGGGTTGGTTCTTCGAGAGCCATCCATGGGCGCCTGCCCACTGGAACCAGTCTGTGCTGCTGAAGGGACCTGCGGCTGTCCTGACACCGGAGATCGTGCGTGAGGCCCTGTCTGCGGTCATTGCGCGACATGATGCACTGCGGCTGCGGTTCACCCGGGATGAGGATGGCGTGTGGCGGCAACAAGTGTGTGAGACCGAGACGCATGATGTGCTTGTGGTGGAGGACCTGTCAGGGACGGGAGAGGGCTGGCGTGAGGCGTTGCGTGTGTCAGGCGAACGGATCCAGACGAGCCTGAACCTTGGGGATGGACCGGTGCTGCGTGCGGGCTGGTTCGGCCTGCCGGATTGCAGTGCGCGGCTCCTGATTGCGATCCATCATCTGGGTGTGGACGGGGTGTCATGGCGGGTGCTTCTGGCGGACCTGCAGCGTGCGGTAGAGCAGAGGCTTGCAGGCCAGGCGGTTGCGCTGTCGGCTGCGGTGATGCCGTGGAGTGTGTGGGTCAGTGAACTTGCGGCCTATGCACGGGGGCAGGCGGTTCGTGATGAGCTGGGCTGGTGGCAGGATTATCTGAAGGGGACGACGGGGTCCCTGCCGGTCAATCAGGGGGGCGACCGGTCTCTCGGGCAGGCCCGGAGTGTTCGGTGGAAACTGGATGTGGAGATGACCCGGCGTCTGCTGGATGCGGCTCCGCGGGCCTACCGGATGGGTGTCGAGGAAGTTCTGCTGGCAGCCCTTGGGCGTGCATTGGGTCAGTGGTCTGCTCAGGAGAAGGTCCTGATCGATCTTGAGGGGCATGGCCGTGAGGATGTGATCGAGGGTCTCGACCTGTCGTCGACGGTCGGGTGGTTCACGACGCGGTATACGGCAGTTGTGCCGGTTGCCGGGGATGAGCGTACGATCCTGATCGGGACGAAGGAGAGCCTGCGTTCGATCCCGCACAAGGGGTTCGGGCTGGGTCTGCTGACGCAGCTTGCGGATGAGGAGACCCGGGCCTTGGCTCGTGCGTTGCCGCGTCCTGGAGTGAGCTTCAACTATCTGGGGCAGTTTGACCAGACGCTGAAGGCGGATGGCCCGCTGGGCTTTGCCGGAGAGGATGAGGGTGCGTCCACGGAGAGCCGTGGGGATCTGGGGCATGTTCTGGATCTCAACGGGATGGTGGCTGGCGGGAGCCTGTCCTTTACATGGCGTTACAGTCCGGATGTGATTGGTGCGGATGTCGTGGAGGGTCTGGCCGAGCGGTTTGGTGCGGAGCTGGCTGCCCTGATTGCCCATTGTGAGATTGCCCCGGTGGAGCGGACGGCGAGTGACGTGCCGTTGTCCGGACTGACGCAGGCGCAGCTGGAGCGTCTGGGTCTGACGGGCGGTGACGTTGAGGACGTGTATGCGGCGACGGCGCTGCAGCAGGGCCTTCTGTTCCATAGCCAGATGGATGCCGGGTCGTATGTGAACCAGCATGTGTTGACGCTGAAGGGGACGCTGGACCGGACGGCGCTGAAGGGGGCGTGGGACCATGCTGTCGCCCGACATGCGATCCTGCGGACCCGGTTTGTGGACGGGCATGGGGGAGTGACGCAGCAGGTTGTGATGCGGCACGCGGATCTGCCGTGGGTGGAGCATGACTGGTCGGCTCTGGAGGAGGCTACCTATCAGGAGCAGTTTGCGGCCTGGATGGCGGAGGACCGGCTGCGGGGCTTTGATCCTTCGTTTGCGCCGCTGCTGCGGATTGACCTGTTTGAGCGTCCCGATGGCAGTGTGGACTTTGTCTGGACAGACCATCATGCGCTGCTGGATGGCTGGGGGTCTGCGGAACTGCTTGGTCAGGTGATGGCGGAGTATCAGGGGCGCGTGCTGGGTCGCAGACCAGAGCTGCCTGCGGTAACACCCTATCGGGATTATGTGGCGTGGGTAGCGCGTCAGGGAGACGGGCTGGACTGGTGGCGGGAACAGGTTGCCCGACGGGACGACCCTGCGACGCTGACGGGCTCGGTTCCGGCGGCTTGGGCGCCTGAGAACGGGACGTTTGAACATCGTCTGGTCATTGATAAGCAGGCGAGCGACGGTGTGCGCGCTGCGGCCCGTCGTCATGGTGTGACGGTGAACACGTTGATGCAGGGGGCCTGGGCGCTGCTGCTGTCACGTTACGGCAATGCCGGTCAGGTGACGTTTGGCGTGACGATGTCGGGTCGGCCTGCAGGTCTTGCGGGGATTGAGCGGATGTTGGGGCTGTTCATCAACAGCCTGCCGCTGTGGGTTGACGTTCCAGCGAGTGCACCTGTTGGGGGCTGGCTGCGGGAATTGCAGCGGCTGAACGCGGATTTGCGGGAACATGAGCATATGCCGCTGTCTGACGTGCAACGTCTGGCCGGTGTTCGGGGTGACGCCCTGTTCGACAGTCTTGTTGTGTTCGAGAACTATCCTGTCGACGCGAAGCTGCGAGAGAATCAGGTTGGATCTGGGCTGAAACTTGTTGCGGGAGAGGGCGTCGAGCAGACGCATTATCCGCTGTCGCTTGCGATCCATGAAGGCCGGATGATCGGTGTGCAGTTCCGTCGGGATGGACGCCGCCTGTCGGGCGAGACAGTTGAAGCGCTTGCAGGGCACTACCGGGAGTTGATTGCGGGTCTGGCGCAGGCCGATGAGGAAGCGGCGCTTGCGTCGTTGTCGTTGCATGTTTCTGCTCCCGCGGCTCCGGTTCATTACCCGTTTGAGGCGGTTATGACGCGGATAGACGGGCATGCGTTTGAGCGTCCTGGGGCTGTTGCGGTGACGTGCGAGGGTGAGGAAGCGGATTACGCGTTGCTTGTGTCGTGGTCGTCTCGGATTGGGCGTCGTCTACATGGTCTTGGAGTGTTGCCGGACGAGCGTGTTGGTCTGTGCGTGACGCGTTCTGTGGGGATGATTGCGGGTCTTCTGGGGATACTGCGTGCTGGTGGTGCGTATGTTCCGCTGGACGCGGCGTATCCTCGGGACCGTCTTGCGCTGATGATCGGGGATAGTGGCCTGACGCGTGTTGTTGTGGATGCGCAGACCGAGGCGGAGCTTGGGGACCTGTTTGCGGGTCTTGAGGTTGTCCGCATTGAGGATGTGGAGGCAGAGGATGGGGCACCGTTTGCCGTGCCGGTGCATCCCGACCAGCTGGCCTATGTGATCTATACCTCAGGTTCCACAGGAACACCCAAGGGGGTGGGGATCTCACATAGGGCGCTGCGCTAGCCATGTCGGGATGTCATGTCAGCACTGTACGGGATTACGGCGGCGGACGGATGTTGTCCAGTTTTCAACGACTTAGTTTTGATGTGGCGGTTGATGAGATTCTTCACAGCCCTGACGCATGGGCCCGGCTGGTGGTGGTGTCCTCACGTGGACGGCGCAGCGATACGGAAGCCGATTCCATGCACCTGATACGGAGCAGGCGGCGACGATCCTGATTACACCTTCGGCCGTTCATGCCGCTGATGGAGCATTGGCCGTCGGACGCATGCCCGATGACTGTCGGTGCGTCGGGTAGCATGTCGCGGGGGAGAAGGGCTTCCGAGCGACTGTCCTGGTTCCGTGGCTTGAGAGGCGCTAGGTAGCAGTGCTCGACTGTGATAATCATGTATGGTCCGACGGAGACGACGGTTACGGCATCTGACGTCATGAACATCGTCACTGATGAGGATGATGGTGTTGGCACCGTTCCGCTGGGTCGGAGCACTTCCGTCGAGGAGCGATTGCGACCTGATCGGTACACGTGACGGACAACTCGTTCCCGTGTTGGGGGGTATTGGCGAGATTGTGCATTGGAGGTCCGAGACGCTTGCCCGTGGTTATCTTGAGTCGTGCGTCGCTGACGGCGGAGCGTTTTGTTCCGGACCCTTGGGGCGAGGGGACGCGGCTGTATCGGATCCGGGCGACCTGTGCGCGTCCGGCGTGCGGACGGTGTGACATCGAGTTTCATCGGGCGGATTGACCAGCAGATCAAGACTCCGGGGTTACCGGATTGAGCCTGGCGAGATCGAGGCTGTGCTGCGGGCGCAGGCCGAGCGTGCGTGGATCAGCGGTTCTGGCGCAGGTTCCAGTGAGTGTCGGAGCATGCGTCGCCTGGCGGCGTACGCTGGTTGACGTATGTGCACGAGGGGGAGGTGTCGCGGACACGGCGGCGCTAAAGCGTCAGGCGGGCGAGCATCTGCCAGTCTGGATGAGATGCCGGACGTGTGTGCATGGTGCTGCGAGTGCCCTGCCGCTGACGGCCGAACGGCAAGCTGGACCGCCGTGCGTTGCCGGAACCTGATGCTGGGGAGACGGGAGTTGCGTATGTAGCGCCGCGCAATGAGAGCGAGGCGGCGCTACTGGATGTGTTCCGCACGGTTCTGGGGCGCGACGATATCGGGGTGGAGGACAACTTCTTCTCCGCGGGCGGGGATTCGCTTTTGGCGATGAGAGTCGTCTCTTTGGTTCGAGAGCGATTAGCTCGGGAGCTTTCATTAAAAACGGTTATGTCTGATGCGACGGTGGCAGCGTGTGCCGGTGTAATTGCGGCAGATGACGTTGCAGTCATGCTACCAGCAGTCGAAACGCGACTGTCTGGAATGTCGCGCCTTCCGCTATCTCATGGTCAGGAGCGGTTGTGGTTTTTGTGGAACTTGCTTCCTGAGGATACGGGTTACAACCTGACAGGCGCGGTCCGGTTGGCAGGTGCACTTGACCTGGTTGCACTGCGTGTTGCGCTGGATAGTCTTGTGCGTCGGCACGAGGTGCTCCGGACGACGTTCGGCTCGGACGGTGAGGCCGCCTGGCAGGAAATACATGTGGAGCCGATTTATGGGTGGCGTGAGGGCAACGTCTCCGATGAAGCGGAACTGGGTTCCTTGCTGTCATCCGAGGCGGCGAAGCCGTTTGATCTGGAACATGGCCCCCTCTTACGGGTTCTTCTGGTCAGTGTGGGCCCGGATGAACATGTGATGCAGTTTGGGATGCACCACATTGTCTCGGACGGGTGGTCAATGGAGATCCTTGTCCGGGAATTCACCGAGTTTTACAGCGCATCAGTGGAAGGTCGGGAAGTCCGTCTGTCACCTCTGCCTGTGCAATATGGGGATTATGCCCTGTGGCAGCGCGAGTGGTTGGATGACGCGGCTCTGGAAGAGCAGTTGTCCTACTGGCGCGAGCGGCTTGGGGGAGAACAGCCTATCACGATGCTGCCGCTGGACCGTCCGCGGACGGAGAAGCGTCGACGTGAGGGAGGACGGACTTCGACGGTGCTTGCCCCTGAGCTTGCATCTGGATTGCGGACTGTGGCCAGGCGTCATGGGACGACGCTGTCGACGGTTCTGCTGGCGGGTCTGTATGCGCTGCTGCATAGGTATGGCGGGGATGAGGATATCCGGATTGGTGTTCCTGTGGCGGGACGCCAGCGCGCGGAGATCGAAGGTCTTGTCGGTTTTTTTGTGAATACGCTTGTGGTACGGGCGGATCTGACGGGCCAGACGACGATTGGGGCGTTGATCGATCATGTGCGTGACTGCATGATCGAGGCGCAGACGCACCAGGACGTGCCGTTTGAGAAGCTTGTGTCGACGTTGCAGCCGCAGCGGTCGTTAAGCCACTCGCCGTTGTTTCAGGTAATTTATAATTATCAGACATTGAGCAGCCTGACGGATGCGGATGGTGGCAGTGGGCTAGCAGGCTTGATTATTTCCGGTGTTGGGAATGGGCCAGGCGAATCTCAGTTCGATCTCTCTTTGTCTGTTGGGGAAGGCAGGAGAAATGTTGATATTTCCTTCGGCTATACGTGCGATGTTTTTGATGAGGCGACAATAGTTCAGCTTGCCGAAGATTATGCCGGTATTCTGAGGGAACTGATACAGCCGGCGCGAGAAACTTTGCCGGTTGGGTCGCTGAAGCTGCTGTCGGTTAAAGTTCCATCCTACCCGGAACAGACTTACCCGTTTGAGGCGGTTATGACGCGGATAGACGGGCATGCGTTTGAGCGTCCTGGGGCTGTTGCGGTGACGTGCGAGGGTGAGGAAGCGGATTACGCGTTGCTTGTGTCGTGGTCGTCTCGGATTGGGCGTCGTCTACATGGTCTTGGAGTGTTGCCGGACGAGCGTGTTGGTCTGTGCGTGACGCGTTCTGTGGGGATGATTGCGGGTCTTCTGGGGATACTGCGTGCTGGTGGTGCGTATGTTCCGCTGGACGCGGCGTATCCTCGGGACCGTCTTGCGCTGATGATCGGGGATAGTGGCCTGACGCGTGTTGTTGTGGATGCGCAGACCGAGGCGGAGCTTGGGGACCTGTTTGCGGGTCTTGAGGTTGTCCGCATTGAGGATGTGGAGGCAGAGGATGGGGCACCGTTTGCCGTGCCGGTGCATCCCGACCAGCTGGCCTATGTGATCTATACCTCAGGTTCCACAGGAACACCCAAGGGGGTGGGGA